TATATAATAAATCAAGATAGCCGTTAACACTTGTTAACTTATGTATCTTTGATGATTTAATTTTTTTTATACAAAATTTGTAAAAATGTTATTAATTAGTTACCAGAATTGTCATTAAAACAGGTATGATGAAGGTCCATATAACACCAATACTTGTATTCAACCAACAACTGAAATGGATATATAACAATAACTCAGCTGTTAAAAACTAGTACTTAGGCTTATAATCCAAATTATAATGGCAAGACCAAGTCTTACGGAATACAAACACAAACGGCCGGCTCATACTGCATTTTATAAAGCTAAACAGTGGTTACTTTATGGTATACCATTGAAGTAAATATCCAGTTAATTTAACCTCAAGCCTATAAAATATATGCTGCGGTATGTTGCCTTGACTTCTGGTATAGGCATGTGCAGTTGACACTAAAAGAGGGCTTAACTAAAAGCAATGCATTTCTGAACAGGTTCTATGTTATAAATAGTGATATACTGCTATTTTAATTTAAAATCTTAGTGTGTTTCAAGAAACAAAGTTTGCGAAACATACTTTGTCGATGAGTATTGTTCTCTTGTTACCCCGGCAGTTGTAGCGACCACGATTAGAGGTAACAACCACCCCATAACACGGAGATAATTGAAGCGTTTCTGGTGGTCGGCGAATGCATGCCTGATCTTGAAATACAGATCTGTGCACCATAGAGCCATCCACATAAAGGCCACCATTAGGCTGTAGTGTAGGCTTCCAGCTACTGCGCTGCACAATATCTATAAAAATATCGATTTACATTTCAAATCGTATTTTTAAATAAGAAACTTCCATCATTAATGCATTTTGAACCATCTTAAAGGCAGCTCCGGTCATAAAGTGTCTCTTCATTATATGTTAAATGTATCAAAAAAGTATATTCTTTCATATTTTATAATATTTAAGAGTATGGTTGTTGAGATCGAATAGTTGGAAGTTACAAATACTAAACTGGGGGTGGGGGAGCTGAACATTCACCTTCTAGAGCCTATATTTGCTAGTGCAAATCGTCTATAGAATACACGTTTTAAAAACGTGTGTATTGTATACGCAGAGGAAAAATTTAAAAAAAAATTTTCGTAATAAACATGCTGGTAAAATAATAATTTCTTATGTGTAATACTTACACGGTGTTTGGGTTTAAGAGTAAGACAGGTGAAACATGCGTTCACACACAGAAGTGCAATCACAAGATGTCTTAAAGCAATGAAGCGTTCACACCTTCGTAATTCCCTTATGTAAATGAAAATAAAATTAGTGAATGATTTTATATTACGTGAATTATGATGATAGGCCCATAGATTAGAAAAGGATATCAACCAAATGAGTAGGTATTAGGCCTTTTTTCTGCTAAACATAGTACGAATTTTTATCCTATGTCAAGTGAAACTTTTTTAATGAAGAAAACATTTTGTTAATTAAAGTATACACCATATATTCATTCATTCATTCACTTTGTTCGTTTGTACATTCGTTCACTAATTCATTTAGTAGGCCTAATTTCGCTCATTAATCCATTTGATTATTCGAATATTCGTGAATTATACGTAATTCGTTCGTCTGTTCGTTTGTCTATTCTTCTATTCATTTATTCGTGTATTCATTTCGTCTTCAATTCAGTAAATATTATTAATTCACTTATATATTCGTCATTCTTTGTTTTACAATCTTTAGTCTGTCAGGCGATAAATAAATATGAAATAAAATGATGTAAATATGAACATAATCAAAAGATTTACTTAAAAATGAAACGCAACAACGGTAAGGTACACATAGCCTTACGTCTAGAATGGTATAATTACTTGAACTACTTACTTTAATTACTTACTATAAATTATACTTACGGTAGGGTACATGTTGTGAGCAGAATTAACATGAGAAAAATTGTTGAAATTGAAAGGCCAATATATGTCAATATGCTTGCCACCTCCTCATGCGCCTACAAATAATCAAAAAATGATAGTTATAATTATGTACAATATAATCATGTTCTTATTCTATGCTCTTAGTTTATTTCAATCAATTTTAAATATAAACTGGGAGAGTCGGAAAATGACTTTTTCTTACAGCGATTAGGTTCGTTTTTGTGTTTCCTACCAACTCACTCAGTTTGATGTTTGTGTGGGTGCGTGTGTGTGGGTGCGTGTGTGTGGGTGTGTGTGTTTGTGATGTTTTGGCAATAAAGAGATTAAGAATAAAAACTCATGATAATGATATAATATTTCTAAATTTAGAATTTGTTTTCTGTTTGTGATGAGATAAAAAACAAGATTGAAAATTAGAAAGAAATAATTATTGTCTTGGCAATTAACAAACATTACACTGCATTATTTCATTAAATCTATGTCTCTCGGCCTCTCAGTAATATGAATTTAAAAGATATAGCTTTCACAATTTTATATGCTTGAATTGTTTCTATTTGTGTCTCTCAGTTCACAGTATTATGAATTAATTTTTTTCGAATTTAATTGATTTAATGCCTTTGTGGATATTATATTGTTAAATTCAGTTGAATCCCGGGCTGACGGTAACGTGGTTTACAGGCGTGAGTAAAAAAATGGTCAGAGTACGGAGTTATTATTGTAACTCCGTGGTCAGAGGAACAAATTTAATTTTTAAAAGAACAATGAGACCGCACGCTTAATGTTTTATTGTAAAAGCGCGTTATCAAAATGGCTTTCAAACGTTACATTTTGTTTAATTTTGCAACTTTTCGACAAAGATATTCTAAATTACCTTTATCGAATTGTATTAGCCGAAGTTTGAATAATGGAATAAATGGATTATTTTCTTGCTAAAAATATAATTATAATTTACCTCGCTGACATCTTGAACTCGCATAAGGATCGCAAATGACGTCAAATGACTACACTTACACGTGACACTGGTAGTCTGATTGTTAGTGGTTTGGTTGGAAACCGCGACGGTTGAGCACCCAATTGTAGACCAATAGCTGTTGAGGGAGCATTATTGTTACATCTAGTCATGGTACAGTACTAACATTTTCCGGCTCAATTGTTTATGTGATTGTGTTTTTATTCTTATTACTGTATACATGGAACCTAATAACACAATGAATTGTAAACTCACATAGTGTCCGAACTGTCATTCAAAAAGCAGCACGTCTGTATCCCAGCTCCAGCACTCTACCGATACACAGAAACACAGAGAAACATAATATTACAGAAATAATGTTTGTTGACTTAATTTTTTATTTTTAAGTCCTTGGGCGGTGCTGCTCCCTAGATAGGTGGTGTGGTATGAGAGAAGCCTTTTGGGAGAAAGAACAAATATTATAGGTCTACATAATGCCACAGCATAACTGTGCCTGGTAGGCCTACAGTACTTTTTGTAATTTGGTAATGGTGGTATAATGGTAGAATATTTGTAGAGTGCCTTCGATAATAAAATCGTCTCAGTTGGATTCGTTATCTTCAATGGGGAAATGTATCAATTCGGCCATTAGGCCACTGTACAGGCCTAATACAAAACTGAATTTCATAGTAACCAGACTATTATAGAAGCTAAAATGTTTTTTTATACAGTATTTTTTAATGTTTATATACTGTGGTACAATAGGCCCATTGTGGTTCGTATCTTCACTCACCGTAGGTACTGTAACAATAATTTCTACATCAGATATTTTGTTGGTATTGATATCATATACATTTACTGAAATGATGTTACTGATTAATTCCACCGCATTTCCAGACCTGAGAGCAATTTATAAAAGTCTAATATATTTCGGTTATAAAATGTAACAATAATATACAAAAAAGTAGGTTACGAAATGGCCACATATGCATATGATATTGCTAAATAAACTACATAGAATATTTCCAATAATGTTTTTTTTTTTTTTGAAAACATACAAATTCTGCTCTGCTTTTACTTTACTCGAATCGACAACAACAACGACGACGCCAAGACTTCCTGGAATTGGGAAAACCAGAGGAAAAAAAACATCGTTATTTGATTTATAATGTGTATATTTTGCCCATATTTAAAAGGTTTTGTTTTTCCTGACAAACAGAAAAAAAAAGTTTCATGTAATAATGTTAATTGCTGTATTTTACAGCAATTATAAATGCATTTTTAGTCTGCATATCTACTAATCGATCAGATGTAACATACTTTTTCTGCAATTTAATTCGTAACTCGGGCGAGTCGAGTGGGTAAGCGATACGGCACGGGTGCCGAAACTACAGCTTTTAGCATCGGGCTGGTTCGAGCCACTCCTCGTCGTCCAGGGTTTTTGGTTGAAGTCTTCTCGGATAATGACTTAAATGGAGGACCAATGTACATATCTGGCTCGTGTGCACTTTAAAGAATCCATTGCATCTTTCGGAAGAGTAGGCGGTTATCCCGATGCTATTGATTTCAACCCTAAAATGAGCACGAAGCTACTATGAGCGCTTTATATAATATGGCGGTCGGTAGTCACGGAGCACGCCTACACGCAATTCCCCCATGACGCTGCGAGTTATGGGTTATTCTCTAACGTTAACTTCACCTACCTTCACCTTCTCTAGAAGAAAAAAGCTGTAAAGATGTATCACTGACTTCGATAGAGGCAATTTCATCATTAATATTTTGCGTCCATAGCATAATTCCCACTTCTGTATTAATAAAATAAAAAAAACAAACTTTTCCGATCAAATATGCAGTGAGGTATTTAACATGTCCGTATATTATACAATGACTATAATAACTTTATAATTTCGCTTCTCCTCGGCTTTCGTACTTTTTGTCCTGTTCAGATTTGGTACCGTATTTTTGTATTTTGCCGAAATGAATAAAACAAAATAAATTATTATATGTAGCACTATAAATACAGTTTGAGTTTTGTGTGACATTTATAAGCTGCAAACTTTCTCTGTCAGACTATCAGGATTTTAAGTGGCAAATACCTGTGTTTCGTCGTATGTGGTGTGAATGACATCATCATCATGCCATTTGGTGTAACAGAAAATGTTACCTTTGTACAGAACTTAAGTAGTCCTAAGTCCTTTATTCCAAGTCAGTGAAACTTTTACTATAAAATGTCTTGTCTTCATTTGCAGGGAAAGGGTGTAATCAATCCAGACGTTCATGTTAAAATGATCTCAAAATTGAGAAAAACGATATAAAATAAACTGAAATACCAGAGGTTACCAGAGCTAGAAAAGAGAGAAGGGTAGTAGATTATGTGATAGGCGTAATACTGTTAACCGACCAAAATAGGTATACAATTACAAACCAGAACATTGCTCATCAGAGTCTAACTAGGCCTCTTTGATATAAAAACAAGGAAAAAGATTAAAGTTTGTCAAGTAGTACTTCGGGAAGTGGCCTCGGATTTGAATGAATCTTTACTTACCTGGCTCCTTAAAACGTTTCTCTTCTTTCTTGCCAATCTCAAAAAGTTCCCATCGTTTTACTTCGTTTAATTGATTAATGTAATCATCGGTTGATTCTATCGTACCTTCGTCATTAATAACGTTATCTTCCTCATCTTTGAATGAATTTAAAAAAAGCCTTTGGGGCGCATATAAATGAACAGACGGAAATATTTAAAAGCATGATACATTTATATGTTGTGTGTTATTCAATATGTTTAATGATAATCTGTAAGGCCTTAAAACACGTACATATTCCTGATTATATATATATATATATATATATATATATATATATATCGGAAATATAATATACCTGTCTCTTATACACATCTAGATGTGTATAAGAGACAGGTGTGTGTACGTGTGTGTGTGTGTGTGCGAGGGTGTTTGTGTATGTAGTATGTACATAAGACAAGAAATATTGCACGTAAAGAGATACACTATAAATCTACAGGCCTATTGTCTGGTTTTTACTTGTATGATGAACCAAGAAAACCGTAAACGTTAGGCCCACATGTAACGTTTTCCTGGGCAATCTGCCAAATTAACGACTAATTAAGTGTGATTGGGCTCAAGTAGACTGTGCAGGAGTAGGCCTATTGTTGTTTGTGTTACCAGTAAATAGCTTCAACAAAAAATAAAATTATTCTCTGGATGACCATTAGTAGTTATTGGTTGACAAAGCATTTCAATACGGATCGGTTTGAATCTCAAACAGTGGATTATCCAGAGATCAGATAGAAGCACAAAACTAGACTAGGTAGCATGTATCACAACATTTAGGCCTACCAATTTAATTTAAACCGATTCTGAAATGGAATTGTTGTAGCGATTTTTAAAAAAATAAATCCCACAGAAGTATAAAAATAATGAAGTAAATATGCCTATGAATTTTTCAAATAGGCTTAGGCCATATAATATAACAGTCATCTGAAATAGAGGCAAGAAAACGGAGCTGACAGGAGACTGTGATCTTGAATTCAAAAGGTTAGGGTGGTGAAGGGACTTCCTCGGTAGGGCATTTGCTAGGACTATAAAAAAAATCTACCAAAATTTATGTTAGGTCTATAACACTTAGGCAGACCGATGACCTGTCATGTTTAAACAGTTGCGTTTAAAATAATATTAATGTGTTGGCTTAAGCCTTAACCGTTGCATTTGGATAAACGGCACCGTCAGTCATAGACTCGCTAAGGTCACCAAATCCATAGAATACTTTATCCTGTAACCCACTCGGATGCTGCGAAACACCTTCAGAATATCGTCCCTGTGTTACAATTCCAATAACAGCCTTAACATCCCCCAAATCAGTCTGAATCCATTGAAAGTCGTCCACAGTTGTCCACCGATAAAGTTGATATCACCACCGACCGAATTAAGCATTGCCCGTTGTGGTCCATGACCGAATTGGTCGTCATTGTAGATGGTACATGCTTAAAGTCTTTCGTCTGGAATATCTCCCGACTCCATCCCAAGGGCACGTGATAAACATGTTCCGTCTTCTGAAGTTGTTCCACGTAGGAAAACCTCCTTGCTCCTCCTATGTCTTGGGGAAAACTGGTACATTGTTTAACATTGTGAAGTGATATAAATAACTAGGCCTATATTAGGCCTACTATTAATATTAATAACGACGATAATGATGAGGATGATGTTAATAATGATGATGAGGATGATGATGGTAATGAAACTGAT